TTTGTCAACATCAATAAAATGCCAAATAATCATACTTAACTCGTTAAATACTTGAGTTAGAAGAAAAATGTTTAGGAAATGCGTTTTTCTAAGGTACATAAACTTTTGGGATTAATTGTATAGCCAACACATCCTTAAGAGAAGTTCACGCATTTAATTGATATATTATTGAACAAAAGATAACATCATTTTTCTATTTCATCTTTACCTATCCAAGGAACGCGTTCCTCGATACTGAATCAAATGCATCAAATTAATTATCGTAACTTGTATTCTATAACACAAGATTTCGCAGAAATTTCATGCAGTTAATTTATCGGTCGTCAATACGTGGCGACGCGAGCAGCGATTCCACCTAGCAACCCCACGTAAGAAAGTACACGCACACGGGGCCTAATCTGATGCACGTGCACGTGCGAGATTAAATTAAGCCGCGTTTAGCTTTCCGTAAGCTCGGTCTTTCACGGAATCCGACGGGAACGAATCCGGGGGTTGGTTCCGACAAACAGAAAGCGCAAAAGCCGATAGTAACAAGATACATACTCGTGGAATCATGGGTTAGTGAAATTAAGAAGGTGACTCTTCCTTTTATCACTTTATTTTAATATTCAATAATACCAGAGAATTATGAAATTCTGTAACAAGAATTTCTTTGTGCTCGAAAATTATTCTACGTTTTGATAAAATTAAATATCGCGAGGCTTGAATCTTTCTGAAATTTTTGACGTAAAACGCCGTTTTCCGAGCTCGTATCGTAACTATGATCAAAGTTCACGCAGCAACAATTTTCAAGCCTTTGTCCGCCGCCGGATAACATTTCATAGATAAACGGTATTTCCCCAAACCCTTTAACATGACACGCGAGAATTACAATTACCCACATACGAACGTGGATAATGATAGGGCCACCTCTGCGAAAGTATCACGTGTATCAAAGTTCTGTACATATCACGAGTCCATACGAAAATTCGAGATAATGTAACTAGTTTCTACATCAGTTTGACAGAGTATTTGGTTTTATCATACAATGTACACCTAATTCATTGGATTTTAATCCAACATAGACAGGACAACTTTTTCCACCAAATTCCACCAATTATAATGACGACGCGTATCTGTCTGTCTATATTGTAATAATCCAACTAGTCAGATGTATGTATCCTTAAAAAAATGATAAAATAAGGATTTAAAAAAATGCACCGTCCAGGTATGCGAAAGGTTTTGAAATTAATTTGTGATGGAGAGGTCGGTTGCGGAAATTATTAAACATGAACGCGACGCATTTTTCGAGAGGCGGTGGCGTACGTTGCCCGTTTCTTTTTTTGAATAAAAAAATTAGAGAGGAGTAATTCGTTTTGTAAAGATAGCTTCATTAGATGTATTACCGCGCAGCATCGCACGCAAATATGTCCTAATTTTCCACGTAGAATACGAGCAGCAACGGCAATACCCGACGAGGATTACAGAGGCGGTGCGGAACTCATTACGCGGAGAATTTATAAAATCCTCTATCGGTTATAATGAGAGAACGTGTTTGCGCTTGGAGGAAAACGTGCTCTAATTACGCGAGCTCATCTCGATGCGTGTGTCAGCATTGAAAGGCCCCGCGGAGTGCTACGACACTAAGATAAAACATATCTACTTATCTGCAATTCATTCATGTAATTAGCATGCTTTCCTCATACATATTACAAAATTTCACCTGATTTGCTATCAAATTTACATGAAAATTTGCATAACGTAGAGAGCTGCATCGTTTCAAGTATCCATACTTGATTTTCAGTTTTCGAGTTTCGCGACATCGGTGAGCGATTGCAGCTACGGATATTTTTAAAATTTTCTGAGAACAAAATTCACTTTCTTTACGCGTTTACGGATGCGCGGCAATAAAATCAACGCCATTTGTTCGACATGCGCGAGATTTTACGAGCGGCCGGGTAGCGGGGCGCACTCGCATTGAGTCTGTGCCGGCGTTGATGTGGTCCGTATAAAAGAAACCGTGAACCGGCAAGTGGTGTGTCCGGTAAAGTGAACCGCGTGAAAGGCGTTCTTATTGTCACGCTTGCCTTCGCCTTCGCCTTCGCTTTCGGCCTCGCGCTTCTCATTGAGCGCTTCCTTTATCGCGATCGACGCCGCGACAGAGCTTTCAACCGAGTGAAATGGTCACCGACGTGAAAAGACGCACCACGCTTTCACTGCTTCGTAGATTTAAATATGCCGCATGAATAGAGAACGGTTGATTTCGTGCAAACCGCAGGATAGGATTTCGCTCGAAATCTTTTACATGCGTCTTTTCCGCGTTACAGCTTAGCTCTTGTACCGAGAACATTATTGGTTTATTGAGTGGGGAATTTCGAAGGGATGAAGGAAAAATGGAATTGTTAGGTAATTCGATGACGGAGAAAAGGGATTACTAAGTTAGAAAGTCGAGTTTCGCAATGGTAATTAGAAGAATAAGCGAAGTTAGTTAACAAAGCGGGAGATGCAAGACCATTTGTTCCCCCCTTTTTAGCGATAAATCTCGAGAGCGTTCAGCTTGTTAGCGACAATTGGAAAGCGGCAAGACGAAAAAGGGTATCGGAAACGGCTAATTAACTTGTTAATTGCGTTTCCGTTGACCGGACCAAGTAGGTAACTACCTGAATCGAGTATGCAAAGAGGCGCGTGACTGGAGGAAGACGCGGGATGAAACTCGGACGGGCGGATTTCCGTGCGGCAGGTGATAAATAGTGAAAACACGATAAGGGGCAACGAAAACAACGGCTCGACGCGGCGCGAGAGGGCGAGAGAAAGAGACGGTGGCAGGGGGGGGGGGTCGGTGAGGTATAGAGGTTTGCAATTAAAATTCAGTAACTCGCTTAACCGAACTGTATCTCTCGATTGTAGCCGTAGTTGTTACCGTTTAATACGATAAAGCCAGCACTGCTTTACACGAAGTACAAATCACCTCGCAATCAGAGCTTTCAGTTACTTTTGAATGTAAAACGATGAAGCGTTACAACCTCCGCGGATCCGTAGTGCAGACCTGCAAATTAATGCCGTATTTTGTGTCTGCCCGTCGCGACGACGACGGACCGACGACCTCGCCCCGCTGTTTCGTTAACGCGATTCGTTAGCCAGCCTTTCAAACCGAAACGGTTTTTACTCACGCTTGTTGCCTTTGTTGTTTCGAACAACGGATATCCTGCCGTTCTGTTATCAATGACAATACCGGCTTGCGTTGTTTTCTTATCTCGCTGGGACAAACAGAGTTTCATCGCTACGAAAGCAGTGTTGTTGCCGTAGCTGCGAACGATTATGCTCGGACGAACTTTCTATGAAAATTCTCGAAACGTCTCTACCGATTTTTTAAGAAACGAATGGAAACGGCCGTGTCAGTATTATTTTTAAGTCCGCGAGGAATGGAAGCGAACGTGACGATGAAATATTGCGAGTTTAAAAGCGTTTCATGTACGGTAATAATATTTTTCAAATAAATTAATTAGTACGGATGCCGTAGCTGTTGTCTCGTTGGACAAAGATAAATCGTTCGTTTAATTGGATTCTCCTAACAATAGAGGATTCGCAAGGAAGTGTAAGCGATGAAATTATTTAGCGCGAGTTGCGCGGCTAATTAATGGAACTGAGATTGCTTGTAGTAAATTGGGAAACGATCGTTCCGATCCAATGTAACGAACGTTTATGCATTCTTTTGAACAATGATTCCATTTTCCAATAACTGTGTTATAACGTTTCAACCCCGCGCGCGTGGTGTATTCGTAACGTTGTTAAAATAGGAAGCGAAACGACACGGGAAACTAGCGCGAACATTTAATTCGTGCAAGTTTCAAGCCTGGGACAAAAGGTGGAACATTATGAAATGTTTTTCATTGTTTTCTGGCACGAATCAAATTATACACGTATCTCACTATCGAGCTTTCCATTCGAAAGCACGTGACAAAGTGAACAAAGCTCTAGTCAGGAGAAAGTCAGGGGCGCAAAACATTTTCAGTAGCCAAGCCCCGCTCGTTAGTGGCACGAATTTTATTTGCATCCAATTAAAATGCAAACCTCCCGTTAAATGCTTCCAATAGTTTGGCGATCCCGTTCAATAAACTTGCAAATGTTTTTCGTGGCACAATTAAATCTCGCATAGCAATTCGTAAGATTAATGAATTTTGTGTAAACAATTTTGTCTCCCGTTACGACACGTTTACAATGAGTTGTCGCGTCGTGTTCCAGATCGCTGCTAATAAAGTCGTGGACGATTGGCGATCCTTAAGAACCCTCACGGCAAGACGAAGGACGGTGGTACCAGCGTCGTGTGATCTGCATTCGCAAGTTTACCAACTTTTGAGAGACGGTACCTCTCTCGTCTGGTCCGATGACAGAGTACATCGGTCTGTCCTCCCACGAAAGGAACCATCAGGAGATTCCCCGCCACGGACTGTGGAAAGTTTAATAAAGATCTGAGCATCGCAACAATTTCTCGTTGCGTGTTACATCTGCGTTGACGAGATGCAGCTGGATGTATCCTGCTTCGGCTGCGGCAGCCAGAAGTCGAGGATAAAACTTCGGGAGTGGTGAAGTGGCAAAGAAAATGGGATGCACTGTTCAGATTATTTTCTGATAATGGAACGAAGAGTGGAATGTCGCCAGACGATGAGGCACGGTGCAGATTCATCGTTTGAAACGTTCCAAGTCAAAGCGAGGTCGTGAAATGTTGATGGATTGGAATTTGGAATGATAATATCGTGACTCGAGTAGAAGTAGCGTTAAGGATAAGGCAGTAGCAGTAGTGCAATCTGGAATTCTGAGGACCGTCCAACCTACTCATTAGAAACAGCGCGCTTTCATCTCTAATGCATCGACGTCGAGTCGATTTGATTTTTAACCGAATATCGAATCCGCGGATCACCATGCCTGAGAGATCGGTTCGGGGATCCGTAGCAAGGATGCGCTACTCCGAAACTGTCTCGTGTACCGTATTCTATCCGCTGCAAGCTGCCTCGAAGCGGAATTTATTTCCAATCCGGGAGCAGATACGCGACCGGGTTACTGCGTATTCTTTAAAATGCACGGCTCGGATTCGATGAAATAAAACGCGGCTAGAAGATATCGGTCGCTTTCCCTCACGGTAACATTCGTGCAAGCTGAAGAGTGATGAAATTCTGATCATCGGAAACACCGACGAAATTCAGTAAGGATGTGATCAACGATTTAAGGACACTAGTAAGCGAGGCTTGGTTCGACGCTTAAGAAGACTTTAGTGGGAAGGGTAACACATCGCGCGAGCTCACCCCACGAGAGAGGGGTTCGAAACTATAGAGACTATGATACCAGTTTGATAACGTGGGTCAGAGACTCGGTGCACGGTCGCGAGCTGCTACGTCCGTGTCTGGCCCGGCCAGCCGTGTTCATACTCGTATTCGAAGGGAGTTTGGTCGGACTCGGAGATCTGAAAGAGGCTGCGGACGATCGTGAGTGAAAGGGTTGGAAGGAACCCGAAGACGAGCGGGCAAGAGCAACGAGGAGGGAGGGAGTGTGCGAGAAGGAGGAAGCTAGGGTCGGGGACTAGAAGAAGAGAAGAAGAGAACAACGGGCTGCAACGTGAACGTGGAAGTTGAAGAGGAGGAACGACGGGGGAGAGAGGACAAGCAGAGGAGGGAAGTTTCCGTCTGTCCGAGGGTGGATGGGGGTGAAAATGTTCGGAGTGTTGCTGGCATGTGTCTGGCTGGTTGCCGGCTCCCCGTTACATCCCTGGCCGCTAATACCGCACAAGGGTAAGTGCCCCTCGATCTGATAGTAATTTCTTATCGCTTCTCGTTTACCGTCGGAATATTCACGAATCGTCGCGAGCCCGCTGTGTCTCGCGATTATTTTCGACAGAAAAGAAGGAATCGTTATCCGCGTTCTTCGCTCACCGGGTGGTTCGTTATTTTTGTTTATTGCTGCGTGCGTTTTCTTTTATATGTTGATCATATGCTCACCTCCTTGATACGGATTACTGGATGGTTGGAAGTTTGTTGCAACCCTCTCTTTTTTCCTCTGTGGGTCCTCTTTCCATCGAAATTACAGGAGCCCCGACGAGAGGGCTGCAACGCGCTCTCTGCTAACCTTCCACCCTCGTAACGCAGACTCGGCAGACTGTAGTTTTACGGCTGATGCGAACACCGTAATTTAAAATACTCCGCGATAAAAGAGACGAACGATAACGGCTTAACAACGAGGGGAGGAAAAAGTTATTCCATTTCGCAACGTTGGTAATCCGATGTGGAAAAGTTGGCCAACGTTTTTCTGAAATTCTTCACGCTGCGGTTTTCTCCCGTGACTGACGATGATAGAGAACGTACTCCACCGGCTTTAGGGATATCTCTCTCGCCCTCGGTTTTCTAGATACTCTTTTGTTAATTTAAAGTTAGGTCACCGACTTTCTTTTCTGCAAGATGGACGTTTATTAACTGGCCGCATAAGAAAGAAAGAGAATGCTTTTAGATAAGTTAGAAAAGTTTACGCTGAATCAACTTGAAAATCTATATCCGACTGATATCGAGTAGAATAAGTTACTCCTTGGTCAGACATCACTCTCGATAGCGAACTTCTATACCGTCTTATTTTATTCCATACAGTTGTGCTGCGTTATGACTTGAACAGAATACTTTCATATCATTCCATCATCCCTGTATAGGTTGATTGCAAAAATATAATATCGTTGTTGAAAGGACGTGCAGTAGTAGAAGTATTTCTCTTGGCTGTAGGAGAAGAATTGAATATCGAGACGGCGAAAACGATTAATACGCGTTATATCTACAGACCCGATAGAATGCATCCTGCCGTGTGTTGGGGACATAAAGAAAACTGGCCGGAGTTTTGCCCGGGTTCTCTTTGTGTATCGGTATCACCGGTTCCGCCTATTGTACCCGGCGCGCTTTCTTCGAGCTTTCCTCAATGGAAATGAAGACACGAACCGGCGGTAAATCGAGCAACGTCGAAAAAGTCACGCTCGATTTCGCAAACGCGTACAACGCGCACCCGGCTATTACGCGGCTTTGCTCGCGTAATCGCGCCGCCATTTCGGGAATTAGTCCATCAGGATTCAACGTCGCGTGAGGCCAACCGACTCGTGTCGACGCCGTCCCTCGTTTTCTTTCCTTTTTTTACGTCCGGGGCATAAAGAGAGAGGGAGAGGGGAAAAAATGTGTACGCACACAGACACACAGTTTCCCCTCGTGGAAACGTTCCACCACGCGAGAGAACGCTCCGAACAGTTTCGAGGATTAATTGACGCGCGACGTCCCTCGAGTGTTCGTCCCGGAGAACGAGCCTGATAGACGCGGGAATGGGAGATTCCCGAACCGAGCTTTTTCCATCTCGATGAAATTAATTCCTCGAAACGATGAGAAAATTGTCGAGCGAGGCGAGCTTTTGTGTTCATCGCGAAATTCCCCGGGTATAGCCGGTATCGATTAACGCGAGTTTCCGTGAAACTTTTAACTCCGTTTCTTATTGGACGCGATAATGCTCGTGTCTGACGGAATGCGATTAAGAGTATCGATGGATCTATTCATTTATTGAAGGGTTAATTGGCAAATCAAGTAGACAGTTTATAGATGCATGTTGGCACATACTTTTTAATTATTAAAGTTCAGACTGTTCATATTTCGTTTCTGACTCCCACGAATAACAATTGATTTAATTAAAATAAATGAGGGACTTCAATCGATTCCGTGGTGATTCATTTCGAAAATCCCGAAGCGAAGCGGGTAAACAAAAGGAAAAAGCTAGATATTTATTTTAGGCGAGAGAAAAAAAAATAAATTTAATATTGCCACTCTCCCGCTCGCGTTGCGCGAAAAATGCGCAATTGGACCAACAAACGGAACAATTTCATTACGCTTAGCGGGCAATGTGTCCCTCGAGTGATGTGCCGCTTCTAATTTGGATGAGCTCTGTCTCAAAAGAGCAACTCATGCGGCAACCGGAACCGGCGGAAGACAAAGGGTGAAATTAAGCTTACGCGTCGTTACTCTTTGGATATCGAGTCCCCAAATTATGCATGTATTTCATGTATCATTTTTAAACCGTTTCGCTGTTCGTCGCCGATTTCCGGCGAGAGCACCTTTGACAGATAGTTTGAATATTTGGCAGGGTCATTGGAACGCGGTACACGCACGCGTTTATCCAATCGTTCTGCGAAAACGAAATTTCCCAATCGCGAAAATAAAATGGAAATCTCGGACATTTTGCGCGACGCGAAAATTTTTCCAAATTTTCATCCAGATGTCGAAATCGTACGAAACGAATTTCTATAAAACTGGCAAAATAAAATGACGATGTTAATCGGTGTGCGTACATACTAATGAAACGGTCGGCAATCAATTCTTATTGCTCTTACATCTGGCAACTTTGAAGTTCACGGGAAGCACGTATTTGGGTCTCGCATCCATTTTGAGTCGTTGAGTACCTAAATAATAGGAAACTCGGAAGTTCGTTCGGGGTTATATTCGTGAGTGGCAAATAATTAGGCCATGAAGCTAAGGGGTGGCATTAGGAGGTTGAGCAAAAAAATGCACAAAAAACGGTGAGACGCGACGTTTAGCGCATCGACGTTGGAATGAACGATCCCCCGGTGCAAACTAGGAAAATGGAAAACGAGGCGAATGTCGGTTTCAATCGAAGCTTTGTCACCGGCCCTCCCTGCGGATTTCTGTATCCATTTTCGTCAAATTCGAGAGCAGGTCCTATGCCTAGAGCGTCGCGACTCTCGTCATTTAAACCGGTTTCCCTATTCATCGCTCCCCATTTTTTGTTTTTCACCCCTCCTTCTGTCCCCACTTTCCTGCGGCCATTATACGCCGATCACCGTTAAATCTCGCGAGATTGTATTCCCACCGGCGCGCGGGTCGGGCGTCATTCGCGCGAAATTTCACGAAACGGTTTTATTTTACGGAGCGGTGAAATCAACGCGCCGGTTTTATTTTCCACAGACGACGAGCGCAGTTAATCGAATAATACATCGATCTTTATTCGTTCTCGTTAAACGAACATCGTTTCGAATATAATTTAACCGTAAACAATTGTAGAGGCAAAAAGAATTTCGAACTTCGTCGACGGTCATTACACAGTTGTCGTCGCAGGCCGATGAATTGTTCTAGTTAACTGCATAGGTAATTCACGTCTCTCTGTTAGCGATTTGCGAGTACCTATTTTGCATTGCGAGCGACGCGACGTGACGCGACACGACACGCTTTCTCGGCCACAACCCGAACGAGCACCGCGATGAATATTACCCGACGCGAAACTTTGTACAACCGTAAAATTGCATATTTTTGTGGCAACTAATACACCAATGCTGCTAGCTTCGGGCCGTTCGTTACGCTCACCAGTCGGTCACCGCTGATGCGAATGTTTTACAAATACGACTGATGACCGTCGAATGTTTGCCGGTGGCGATCCGCCGGATTGATAACGAAGCTACGCTTCAATTTTCAAAAATTTTCAAAGCCAGATTCGCAATAAAATAACAAATTGCCGTAATCAAAGCTTCGACGAAATATTTTAAAAAAAAAGCAAATTTATCTAGTGAATTTATCTTTATTACTTGCCCGGACAATGTGGAATTCGATTGGGATTGATCGAATCATGGGCACGATATGAGGGGAATGATATTAGCAGCGATACAAGAAGGAGTTCCATTTTATTCTCAATTTGTTTCCCATTTTCCGCACGGTTCCATCGGAGCACAATCGGTCAAACGATGGCAACCCTCTTATCACCGCCCGATCTGTCAGCTCCCAAGCCCTCGATTTCTCGTTCGAGCGAGAACGATTCGATAACGCACATCGTCTGCTCGTTCTCAGATAAGACCGCGGTGTTTGCCCCTCGCGGCTACGCTCTCGATCGTGCCAATATGCATTTATATTCCACTCTTCTTATCTGTAATTATTCTCTACACGCCTTCGATTTAGAAGCGAGCAAATAATTATATATTTTTCTCTAGTGAAACGTTTTCAATAAAATGATCCAATCATTTGTAGGTCTAAACGATCTCGTTTGTTTGTTCCAAAGACTGTTTTCGAATCAGAGATGAGTTCCTCGTTGGAAGAGGGTGGGAACGTATTTCGGAGCGATTGCTTTCGCGATTTTGGTCACGTAGATCTCTTGGACTCGGTCCAAATGCTATCCCTTAATCCTCCGGATCCTATCCATTAGACAAGTTAATTAACAAATTCAAGTCATAGTTGTATAGATTCCAAGACAGAATCTAGGGAAATCGATTTCCCAATTACCGCGCGCGCTAGTAGTATCGGACTGCGCCTAGTCAGACGTTTACCTCCGTGTGTTTTATCTCTTCTGACTGTTTCCATTAACAGCGTATCGGCTAGACATCAAGAATTTCTAGACTCTCGACCCACTGAATGAAATCTGAAAATCTGTACACACAAGAATTTCCCGTTTCGCGTAATCTAATGGCCAGATTTATCTATTACTGAATTTAACCGTTTAACGGAGCAACCATTGCTGTTATTACGTTTACTTAACAGCGGGTAGGAATTTAATTCGAGTTTAATTTTTGCAAACACCGATAACCCGGTTGCGTTGATTAAGGGTAATGCGGCCCCTATTTCAGAGAAGACACGGGGCTTCCATGGCAAGCTAGAGAGGAACGCTGTGTGGTTAAATCTGGCTGCGCACGGGCCAGGTAGTTAAAGGCTAGTCCCACAAATAAACGTTGAATTACTGTTCGCTATACTTCCTGCCGCGGTCTTGAATAGAACTGTCC